TTATGTGCATGCTTTATTTATACTTCACCAAAACTGTCATACCAATGCCCTATCCCTTCCCCTCCCTATCCCTGCCTTTCTCTGGCTACCAGTAAATTGTCCAGTAAGCTAAACATTTGTTTTTGCTGTATTTTACCAGTATATGTTTTTGGTTGTTTATATTGCACAGATAAGTACCATCCAATACCTGTCTTTTACTTTCTGACTTATTGCACTTAACATTACCTGAAGGTCCATCTATTCTGTCTCAAAAAAAAAAAAAAAAAAGCACTATTTCATCATTTTAATAGCTGAGTAGTATTTCGTTGTATATCTATCTCCACGTAGGATGCCATCATTTTATAATTGTGGACTGTGCAGGTATTAACATAAGCATGCATAAATTTTTTCATATTATTTGGGAAAATACCTAGTAAAGATATTGCTGGAACATATGAGATTTCCATTTTTTTCTTTCAAGAAATATACACATTATTTTCCATAAGGCTGTACCAACTTGCATTCCCTCTAATGCAAGTGGAGGAGAATTCCTTTTTCTCCACATCCTTGCAAACATTTGTTGTTTCCATTCTTTTTGATATGGGCCATCTCCCAGGGGCGCGGTTATAACTCATTGTGGTTTTGATTTGCATTTTCCTTATAATAAGTGATGCTAAACAATTTTTTATGTGTCTGTGGGCCATCTGGTTGTCCTCTTTAGAAAAATATCTATTTATATCTTTTGTCCATCTTTAATTTGGGTTGTCTGATTTTTTTTTAATTGTTGGATTGTATAAGTACTTTGTATATTTTGGAAATTAGCCCCTTGTCAGATGTGTGATGTGTAAATATCTTCTCTCAGCCTGTAGGTTGCCTTTTTGTTTTTGTCATGGTTTCTTTTGAGGTTCAAAAGATTTTTAGTTTTGATGTAGTCCCACTTGTTTATTTTTGCTTTTGTTAGCTTTGCCATTGGAGTTGGGTCCCCAAATACCTCTTTGTGGTAGTATATCCCCTATGCTCTCTTTTAAGTACGTTATGGTTTCAGATCTTAGAGTCAAGTCTTTAATCCACTTTGAGTTAAATTTTGTCTATGGTGTTAAGTGTGGATCTAGATTGAATTTATTTTGCATGAGGCTACCCGTATTTCTCTAATATAATTTGTTAGAGGCTTTCTTCTCTCTCTCTCTTTTTTTATAATATAATAGCTTATTTTTACATCATTTTGTACATTTTTTTTATCTCAGTTGTAATCCCCGTGGGTTTCCCATCACCGAGTCACCGTGTGCCATCACCATAGTCCTGTGCACTCCCCTGCCCCCCAGCTTTTGATCCCATTCCTCATTTCTTCTCTTTTTATTTTATGGTGATGCTCTGTTGTCAAAGATCGACTGTCTGTATTTAAGATTTCTATGTTTTTTGTTGTTGTTCTGGATTTCTACTTTTGTTCCAATACCATGCTACAGAATACTTTGATTACTGCACTGTGTTGTATAGTTTTAAGGAATGTGATAACTCCCTATTTTTCTTTACTCTCAGGGCCTTTTCACTAAATTATTCAGGGCCTTTTGTGGTTCCATACACATTTTATAATTTCTTGTTCAATTTGCTTTAAAAAGCATAGGGTTTTGATAGGTAGGGCAGCACATTTGTAAATTGTTTTAGAGAATATGGCCATTTTAGTAAGGTTTATTCTTCCAATGCATATGCATGCGATATGTTTTTTTTGTTTTTGTCTTCTCTTATTTCCTTTAACAGAGTCTTAGAGTTTTCTATTAATAGGTCCTTCACTTTCCCCATTAAGTTTATTTTCATGTATCTCCTTTTTGTGTGACTATGTACTTTTATAGTGATGAGCAACTGATTTTGTGCATTATCTATTATAGAAAGTAGTACCTTAAATAATGCAACATACATGTTTCATCAAATAATCAATTTTTCTTTATACTACTTACCATTATCTCAGATGATGTACTTATTTACCAACTGCCTACCAATAACAAGAGAAACAGCTAATAATGTATCTCTGGTACCTGGAATAATAGCTGACATCTTGTACATTCTCAATAAGTATTTGTGCAAACACCATGCACATGGGACATGCCAGATCCTGTGCTAAGATTATATATTTTATTTCATTCTCAGAACATCTGTATGAGAGACTGATACACTTATCCAGTTGTATCCAGCAGTCAAGTCAAGAGGGAGCTAGGATCAGAAACCAGGTACTCTGGCTCAACCCTCAAATTCTTATGATCTCTGTACATTGCTCAGATACAGTAGTGTAAATATTGCTTATTTTCCTGGAGCGTAGGAAAACATGAGACACAGCAGCTGCCAGTGAGTTCTCCCCAATAAACAACAATTGTTACAGGACTGGTGTACATTGTGGAAAATGTAGTCTTTGTTCTTATTCATGGAGCAGATTAGCTTTAAAAATGTTCAGTTTTGTTATTCACCCCATCTGCACAAGGGCTCAGCTACAGGATCAAAAAAGTTCTCACAGAGTATGAAGAAACTAGGTAGACTACATAGAGATAGAGCCAACTCCTCTATCATTGATGGGAATTAGCACAATGGTTGATGTGGGGACATTTGGCAGATTTGAATAATCTGAAAAAAGGCAGAGTAGTTAGTTATAACAAAGAAACCTGATATTGTAGGTTTTGAGAAGAGCTAGAAGAGAGTAGCGCAAAGGGTTTAAGAATTCGTGTATGTGGGCCCTCTCCAATGGCACAATGGGTTAGGAAGCAGCACCGCAAGCTCGTAGCAACTGCTTCAGTGCAAGTTTGATCCCCAGCCCTGGAGGTGATCCACATGGAGCAGCAGACCTCTCCTGTCCTACCCACTGTTCCCCTCAGCAATGTACTCCGTGGATCTGCCTGTTCTGCTCCCCACTCTATCTCTGGTGAATCCTCTCAATGCCCCTGCACCTCTGGCATCTACCGCAGTTCTGAATACATAAATGAATAAATCTTAAAAAAAGCAACAACAAAGAATTCATGTATGGGAATTAGACAGAACTGGCTGCAACCAGATCTGCCATGTATGGCATAGTGTTATGACCTCAGGAAAATTGTGTAATCTTCTTGGCCTTTTTTTCCCTCACCCATACCATGGGTGCAATGTGCCTGTGTCCATGGAAATGTAATTAGCACAGAGACACAGAGTATGTGCTCAAGAAAGAGTGGTGAGTGCAGTATCTATTTTTTGATCCCTCACATGTGGTCTTAGAATGGTGAAATCTACCTTCTTGAACACTTGAGCTATGAAGAGAGAAACATGTGGGAGAGCCATCATGGTGGACACATGAACTGGGAATGGAATTTGGAGCTCCCCTGCTCCTCCCTTACCCTTCCTACAACCAGCCACTAGAGGGCCTTAAACATCTCTGTTTTCACTCTTGGATAGCTCAGCTATAGCACCCAGAAACAGTGGGTTAATATAAAAAGAACCCTTTCCAGGAAGGGTCAAGTCTTTACCCTTGAGCATATGATCTGCTTTTCATGAAAAATTATCAGAGGTTAGCCTGGAGCTGGCTTGGAGCTCTGTTATTAGATAACCTGAGCAGAAGTGTCTGTATTCCTGAGGCTCATTCATTAATCCCCTGGAGCTTTGGTACTGAAAAGTTGCTTATCTTGATTGAAACAGATTATAGTTCATCAAATTTCCAGAGATGTGGCACTGTCCTGATCATTTACATGGAACTATGTGTTGTCTCAGCATGGAACTACGTAAAAGCCCAGGGATAATGCTGGGCTTTTGATTCAAGCATTTTCCCAACCATCAGTTAATCTGGTCAACAAGAAAAAGGAGAGTTCATTGAAAACATTCCTCATATCAGTCATTCTCACTGTAGTATGAAAGAGTTTTGATCCTTTGATCTTCCATGTAAAGTCTTGAACAAAATCAAATTCAATATGGTTCCATAACTCATTCTCAAAAAAATTTTCCCTTTCCTTGTGACTCTAAAGGGAGAAATTTTTAGTATGCATCAAGTTCTTTCCTAGTTCCTTGCTTTTGTTCATACTGTTCCTTACTTCAGAGTAATGTACTTTCTTTCTCCTCTTCACTGCTTTATGAAATACCCCTCCTGCATTAGACCCAAAAAGTACTTCCCTGACTTCTATCTCTATTTTCTCATTGTACTTTGCAATCTTTTAATAGAAAATTTACCAGAAGGTGTTATTTCTGTGTACTTTTGTCCTGTCATTTAGTTAGTCCTCTCATGTGCTTCATCTATGCCTCTGCTTGAATCTGTGTCATCACAGGGAATTTATCATCACAAAGGTTATGCATTCCACTACAACCAACTCTTCTGAAATTATTAGAAGCATCTCTCTCTATTTTTAGAATCCAAATCTCAAGTTTCACTGATATACAGACTTATTGATTCAATCCCTGCCAATTAAATTGTCTAAAATTCCTTCACATGTGAATAAGACTTCTTAAATATAAATGTTATGAAAGTGGGCAACAAATGGGTAATTTAATTCGAGATGTAAATGACTGATAAGAGTTTTTCCAAAAGCACAAGATTTTAGGTGGGGCCAGGAATAACAAAGACATCAGGTATGATTTAAGGTCAGCAACATTTTAATAGATTAGAAAGAGCACTGGGTTAAGATGAAAGATGGGTTTAATATGATTTTCCCCCTGAGTTTTGGCTTTCTCATCTGGAAAAGTAGAAAATTCATGATGAGTAGTTTTGTTAAATATCATAATTGCAGAATTTTGTCTGCACTTGTAGAGAGTTTCTTAGCTCTGGGTGGACAAAAAGTCACATATGTCAGTGTACTTTAGTCTCTTGGGGGTTGGGTTGACACCCCTGGCACCAAAAGTGGTATGACTTATACCACCATCTTGTCAATCAATGAGATTTTTATACCCACCTGGCTTGAACGTTCCATTCCCCTGCTTTGAAACCCTGCTTTGCCAGGGCTTTTTATGGTAATTGTATCATAAATATTTGCAGATCACACATTTTCTTTAGGTAACACATTTTATTATGATTTCATTATATATTCTCTTCCTGGAGTTTGCAAGTAAAGCCTGCAGAAGAACCAACACTTTATTTATACTAAGTTCCACCCTACAGAACCAGGTCATATTACAATTGCTCAATGCTCTGACTCAATGACTCAATAAATACTTTACAAAAATAATGTAGTCTTTTTCCTTTCTTAGAACATAAAAAATTAGGATTTCCTAGACTTGAGTCCCTCTCTCCATTTTATATTTATTTACTGAGAATGTATTAGTGGCGAAAAAAAAATGACTAAGAGGATATACAATAAAATAGAAGAAATGAGGTTCATGTACTCATCTTACTTGTTTTGCATTTTTCTTTGGAAAAGTGCTATTCCCTGTTTTCATGCCAACCCTTCCTGCAGCTTTCTAAGCCCACTAAGCTGTGAGCAGAAACTCTGCCACCCTGGGCCTTTTAGTAGAATCATAGCTTTACACTAATAATGGCAATTATCTGAAAGCCTATTTAAAGCCAGGCTTCAGATTTGCCCTAAAACATTCATTTCCCCATTCCCCATTTCAGAAGCTGAGATTTCAGCAAGATGCCCCACAACTAAATAACATTTGGTTTAAGGTGGGCATTTTCTTATTTTGATACATTTCCATTGAAGTATTTATTTTTAAAGAAATCTTTACATTCCCTTTCTCTTCCCCCTCCCAAAGCCTCTTTCTGAATTCTCACAGAAGTGATTAAATAGTTTCATCATGACAACTCCAGAGAAAAGGTTATGCGTAAGTCACATTCATATTAAATAAGTTATATATAAAAATTGCTTATAACGTTTACAACTTCAGTCTCTTTCCCCGTTTGCTTCTCTGGGAAACACCACATTTGGATGTGAATTGAATCCCACCCACTATAATTCCAGGTTCTGCCACGTCTTTGTCCTCATCCTCCCGTGGACATCCTCCCTTGGAAGACTTCCGCGGTCTGTAGGCACTGTAGATGGCAAGGGTCTGTAGGCTTCAGAGGGCAGTCACCTGCGCCTGCACACAGCCTTAGTGTAATTTATGAAAATAATCATATGGTATGTACAAATGTACACGTGCGGAGAAGAGGGGGGTCTGCTCAAGTGGCCCATCAGTGCAGTGCCTCGTGTCACAGATGCTAGGGGTGGCCCCTCTTTAATACTCCCTGGCTTCTTGGAACTGCCTGATGTAATCTTCATCCGAGGGACTTTCGGTGCACTTCTGTCCATTGTTGGGAGGACGGGCCTCATTATACCTGCTCCAGTCGCCCTTACAGATAATCCAGGGCAGGACGTCTACTTTGTAGTGAAGCTCTGCTGAGAACTCCGTGCTAATGAGGTTGGGTGTCCCCGCCCCTTTGCCCCTGGTGATGAGCTGCATGTTGTCGCCATAGCAACAGTGCTGGGCAGCCAGAGTAGTGCTTTCTAGGGACAGCATGGAGCGAATGCAGTACCGGGCTGTGGGTTTGTAGATCTCCAGTTTCTCCTTGGGCCCACTGGCGTCCTTCCATCGGAAGTCCTTGCGCTTGGTGCGGTCAAAGATGTCCGCCGTGCTGTAGGCCACCTCGGTGGGGTAGGAGCACGGGCAGCTGGGCAGGTCATTGATCACCTTGTGCATGTACTTCTTTAAGAACTCGCTTTTGCAGCTCATCCATCGCTCACAGCTGTCCGTGTCTGAAAAAGGCCACAGAGAAACCCTCTAATCAAATGCAATAGGGGCACAGGATGACAGCAAGTCAACCCAACGGCCCCTGCCTGGCGTCAACCTAACCCCTTTAACTTTCCGGTGACCATGCTCACCTCTTTTGGATTTGGGGACTTTGTTCAATGTGAACTGAAGGCAACTTTCTGCCCTGCCCAATTTATATTTGAAAATTTTCAAAATAGTGGAGAGCACATAGCTTTACAATGACTACCTGCATGGCACCAGGAGAGGGGGGATCAGACAAAGCTCTCAGGGAAGACCTGTAGAGTTGCCAATCAGAGGTCAGGCTGGGTTCTGCGACTTGGTGTCTGTGTGTAGGAGACAGGTCGGCAGGTCACCTCAATGTCTGCCTCGGTAAACTGCAGTGGCTAAGCTGAGGCATGTCTAAGGAAGCTAAATGTGATGCAATGTGGAGTGACTCAAAGGAGGCAAAGGAATGAATGGCCCATGGGTGTTCAATGCAATGTCATTTCTATCCATGCACGTGTGTGATTAGTCCTGGGATACAGCATGGCGGCTTGGGAGCCACTCAGAGGATCCGCTCAGAGCTCCCACAAGAAAACCCAACTTGGAGGTCTTGGCTGAATGGTAGTTTCCACCTATGTCAGCTTTGAATCTGCTTGGGTGTTCACATCAAGGTCACACTCAGGCTGGGCTACTTACAGAAAATGGGTGTGTGTTATGGGCACCATTTTAGGACTTCTTTGCCAGGCAAAGGCTAGGGATGTCCCCTTAGCATGACTCAGACTTTATCAGATTTACACTGAAGTTTTTCCTTCCCAGTCTCTTTCCTTCTCTTTCGGCATCTCAGTCGGGAAGTTCTTCCTGCCTGCTCTTGGTCTTCTCCCTATCACCTCCCCGATAAATCTATTGGATGTTTAGTTCTATCTGATATATACTCCTCAGAGGAACTGAACTGACAGTCCACACTAACAGAGATGAGGAAAGACAATGGGAAGGCACACCAATCATGCAAACCAAGGTTAAAAATTTGGTCTTTTTTGAAAAGGAAAATTACCTGATGGTTTCTCTCATAGCAGGAGTATAACGGACCAGGCAAGAAAATAATGATAATGATGAACAGCTATAGACCAGAGACATTTTGTGGGATGGAGTGTGGAATGGGATCAAAAACAGTGGGGGGAAGGAAATGCACAGGACTATGGTGATGGCACATGGGTGATCTGGTGATGGGAAGCCCAAGGGGATTGCAACTGAGATGGAAAATGCACAAAATGATGTAAAAATAAACCATTATATTATTTAAAAAATTGAAGGAATATAAACCATTGAAATTAAAGAAACAAACAAAAAAATTGGTCTTTAGAGGCCCTGGTGGCACAAGGGGTTGAAACACAGCACTTTATGAAGCTATCTGTAGCCACTGCAGCACAAGTTCTATCCCCAGCCAAGGAGGTGACCAACATGGCACAGCAGAACTGTCCTATCTCCTATCCTGCCTGCTGCTCTCCTCAGCACTGTATTTCAGTTGATCTGCCTGTTCTTTTCCCCATTCTTTCTCTGGTGAATTCTCTCAGGGCTCCTCCACCCTCGGCCTTTACCCCAGTTCTTGTATACATAAATAAAAATATCTTTAAAAATAATTTGGTCTTTAGAAACAAAATTCAGTGAGAGTCGAGAAAATGGCCTTGTATTTTCTCTAGGGTGGAAAGTTATCTCAATTCATGTACCTATAGGACTTCCATTGACTTGCTGCATCAAACTTAATAGTGTTCAGTTTGAACAAACACAAATAGTAACTCAGTTAACTTTACAATATTTCTACCACGTTGGCATTACACTACATGCCACTTACAGATCAGAAAACTGACATAGTACCAGATGAAGAAACTTGACCCTGTACAAGTCAAGCTTTCCCCATCTCTGGTGGGTACCTTCAGTTTGCCATTCTATATCCTTATTCCATAATGTCCCTTGCATTTTCCTATGTGAACTGAAATTAACGGGTTCTTTGAATCTTGGCATCTAGTTAGGTAGAGCCAACAGGAAGACTTGACCAGACCAGAGGAAGGGTAGAGAGTGTGGTTGGGATATTTGTTCCCCACCCCCCCAACTGTTAGGTGTGCTATAGCATTCTGAGAGCCAGGATTACTGTCAGGTAGCCTTCTCTTTGCTGTGAGCTAGTAGGTTTGTATAATCACTCCTTCATCTGCTCCCTACATGGAATTGGCTGGTAAGAGCTCCCCAATCTTGCCAGTCCTGGGGTTTTCTACAATCTCTTCTTGGTTTCCATCCATGCCACTCATACTTTTGCACAACTGCCTTTCAATTATCCAATTTGCATATGCCATGCTTTTTCCTGCCTGGGACCCAACTGATTCAACATTCCTATTCTTCCATTTGTGTCCACAGAGGCCTATCAGGTGTGGCTCTGTGCAACTGGACCCATGCTTCGCAAAAGGGCAAATGGCTGTCTGCCAGTGGATATAGGAAATCTGAGAAACTCTTTGCTGCAAAACACTGACTTTGCTGTTTGTTGGCCTGTAGATTTTATGTAACATTCCCATGTTTTGTCTCTTAAATTGGTTTTTGGATCGAATGCTTCATGTTTGCAGAAGTCTCCTGCTAAAGGTAGTTTGTGTGAATGACTGTGGTGGAAGACCTGAATAACAAAGAATTTCCAGCTATCTCCAAGTTGAGGAAGCAGAGCAGAAGTGAAGAGACTAAGAAAGAATTTGGCAAAAAAAAAAAAAAGGGGGGGGCAGAAGGAGTCTTACTTTTCTATAATATTAAATTATATCCAAAAGTATTGAAACCATTTTTTCAAAAGAAAACTTCCGTCTTCTATGTCAATTGTCACTAAATTCTGTTTGTTTCCCATTTATTGAATTCATTCTAGAACTTTCAGCAAGTGAGTGGAAGGGTATATCAAAAGTTTACAGAAAATTCAGGTGGTGGAGAGGGTTAGGCTAACATTGAAAATGCCCCCTCCCTCGCTCTGCTAGAGAACTGAGGCCACCATTTCTTGATGTCATTTTGGACACTCAGTGAGGACTACAATGTTCCATGGTTCTTGCCTCTTCCTCTGGACTGATTCTGTGTTAGGGAGGAGCAGTTCTGGCTTATTGTGGCCATGGAGACTGTAGTTAGCAAGACAGCTAGAGAAGTTTTCTCAGGTCTGTCTGGTGCAGGAGACACGGAACTGCTCTCTCTTGGAGTGTATTCCGTGAGCAGGGAACATGCTGGGAGAATTGGACACCATAAGAAGAAAATGAAACACTTCCGTTAATCCAGAGATGGCCTTGCAATAGCAAAAGGAATCTTCACAACAGAAAATCAATATGTGGATAAAAAGGAAAAAACCTTCTCACCAACTTCAAATAGTTTGGTGGCATTGAACTCCTCATTTCCCGCAAGCAGACTCACTTCTGTGGCAGCTGTCCTGAAGGTGTCTTCAATGCCTAAACACAGACAGGAGGTCATTTTTTCCCTCCTTGTAAGGAAAAAGTCTCTCCCCACTCCCAATTACAACAACAAATACACCCGAACAAAGCCTTTTTGTATTCATTACTATGCAAAGGCAGAAACTTGCCAGCAGAGGAAACAGTAAAAAACTACATAGTTGAGCATAAAATATATTAAAACACCAGGTACCATTTGTAGCATGAAATCGAATCCAAATGTGCCGGAGTGGGTCCTAAGAAACTCGTTTGTAAGGCCCCAAACAGGATTTTCGGCAATAGGGGATACATGCCTGCATGGTGTCTGTCTGCTGGATTGGGGTGACAAACTAGAGGCAGTATAGAGTAGTGTTTAATCCCCAATACCAGTCTTAGGAAATGACTGGTTCAAATCATCACTCGTGTGACCTTGGGCAAGTCACTTATTTATGTGATAGAGATTTTGCATCTGTAAAATGGGGAGAGCTAAATGACCCAACTCCTAGGGTTGAATGGATTAAATGAATGATGTGTCAAGAAAGCCCTGAGAATAGTCATGGTAAATGTTTGCTGATACTTTTCCCAGGGAGATTTGTCTAGCTCATTTTCAGGCTGCCGTAATTCACAATTAGAGCTCAGACATCTCATGCTCTAGAACTTGCAGCATTTCTGATGATGCCACAAAAGATTAAGCTGGGCTTGTTATTACTTGCTCTGAGGAACTGAACCCAGGTGGCCTCAATCTTTCTGGCTCCCCAAACCACCACCCCCACCCAGGGCTTCCTGTACAAACAGGAATCTTGTGCAAGCTTAGTCAGTGAGGAGAGGCAGGGGTGGTGGAACTTGGACGATTTGTTGGAGAACCTTGGCTGCCCTGTTGGGTAGAACTCACTTCCTTTTAAGGGGTTCTTTCTGATTTTATGTGCACGCCCTTAAACTTATTTGTAGGGTTGACCTAGGGAACAAATGGTTACAGTTTAATCACTGCCAGGTCAGGGAGTCTACTGCCCCTGACTCTTTCCAGCCCAAATAGGCAAGAGTCCTGCAAAAGGAAATCCTCCATGTTCCAGGGGAGCTCTGAAAAGCTGCAAGATTCAGAATCAGAAAGGATGAAATGGGGCTAAGTTCAGATGTGCAGAAAGTATATGAGCAGGACTGGCATTCACACTGAGAAGGAGATATTCAAAATGGTAACAGAGAATAGCTGTCCCCTAACGAGATGACTAAGTCTGTCATCTTACCAGATGACAGCCCTGAATCCGGATGCCAGTTCTGGAAGATAAAACAACAGGCAAGACCCAGACCCTGGTATTAAAGGCTGTTTATGTCTAAGTAAGGCTGAGTCTGATACTCTTCCGCCTAGTGACGGTGGTTAAGAGCATGGACTCTCTAATCAGACAGCTGGATTAAAGCTCCAGTTTGGTCACTTGCTGCTTACTCAAGTTCTAGAAAAATTAGCTCCTGCCTCAGTTTCCACAGCTGTCAAGTGGCTAGAATAACAGCTACTTATTTTATGAGGCCCTGATGAGTGTTACATGAAATAACATATATAAAGACCTTAGAATTTTTCTTGATACTTAAATGTTCAAAAATTTTCTTATTTCTCCTGATGTTTACTGTTAATTTACATTTTCATCATTTTTCTTTGTTTTCATTGTAGTCATATTCTCTTTCACTTTGTCTTATCTTCATCATTTTCTTCTTATCTTTTCCCTTTCTTTTAATTTTCTTCCTGTCCTCTTTCTCTTCTTCCTTCTATTATATTAAAATTATTATTTATTACTTTCTACCCCATCCAAATTCCATCCTATCAGACTGTCAACTCAACTTCATTATGATGAGCAAGGGGAAGGTAGGTCAGAAGAAACATCTAATAATTACTCTACTTTTCTGAAATCCATTTGCCTGGCTGACAAGGAACCAGAATAACCTTTCCTGCTTTTTTTTATGATTTCATTAATTTTATAGCAGAAAATCAAGTGAAATGTTTTAAACATTTTCTCTTGAGTTTTTACCTCTACTGAAGGAAAAAAAAAAAAACCTGTCATCTGGGCAAACCTAACTTATCAACTTACAGTTAGAAAATAATCTTAAAAGGTGAGAGTCTCACATGCTTATTACTGGGAAGTAAAATGAACAGTCAAGCTGTCATTTTTCTACCACCTACCTTAGCATTTTTCTCCAAGCTGAAACTTTATAGTATTTGTAGAACATTGAAACGATATGAGTTTTTTTATTGAAGTCACACTGATTTAAAACATTATATAGGTTTAAGATACATGGCCTTTTAAACCAACACCTGTATACACTACATTATGTTCATCACCAGAATTCTAGTTTCCATCCATCACCAAACAGGTGACCACTTTCACCTGGTTGATCAGTCTCCTCTTCCTTTCTGAAATCACCATTTTGTTCCTGTTGTCTATAAGTTTGTTTTTGTTTTATTTAGCGCATTTGTTTGTTTTGTTTCTCTAGTACATGTGAGTCAAATCATACGGTATTTGTCTTTTCATGCAGCTTTTGCAAATGCCAGGATTTCATGTGGACATCTTATGCACTCACTTGTCAATGGGCCCTCAGGTTGTTCCAGCCCTTGGCTGTCGTGTGTAAGGCTGTACAACACACGCCTCAGCGCTCAGCCCATTTTCTACGTACGCTCCCTTCCTAACTCACACATGCTGTTTCCTTCCTTGCCCTCATCAGAAACCCCTTTGCTTTGCCACTTCTTTTTTTGTTCCAAAACTCAGCTGTCTGATCGGAGAACAGTTTCTAGGGGTAGGAAAAGGAAGTCTGGGGTGCAGAGATCAAATATTTGTCTCTGGATTTCTTTCAGATGATGCCATTTAGAATGTGTGGTTTCTTGAAAGAACCAAACATATTTTAGCTTGGCCATCTACCTGGCAGTGGGAAATACATCATAAATATAAAACTATAGACCTGCTGACCTGTTGCTAAATTTTTCTGTGAACATATATGGGTCATATATGTTTTAGGGTGCACAATCTTCTCCCTTCTCCTCCTCTTCCTTATCCTCTTAACAACACTTTAAAAATGTGTGTGCCATACAAAAAATAGGCTGTGGTTTGACAATAACTGCTACAGATAGTCACAATTATTTTTCACTACTAAGTTTGCAATTAGCTTAGCTTTTAAAATACTAACAATGGAGTCAAAGCGATAATTAACTACCAAGTAACCTCAGTTTCTTTAAGAGTGCCTTCAGCAACTCTCAGACATTACCTGCAGAGCTTACTACTTGGTTTGTCTGTAGATGTTTGTCAAAGCTTCACCCGACTTTCTTATCAGATCATCAGTGTCTGTCTTCATGTGTCTTCAAGACACAACAAATCCCACATCAAAGGCCCAAGTTAACCTGAGTCCTTCCTCTGAATTAAATAAGTACACTGTGGCATTGTCTTCTAGGTTACAGCTACTGCAATTGTGGGAAAAGTGAAAAAAATCCATCTTTCCACCAACTCAGCTTATTATGTATCTCTTGCCTCACTTTGGTCAGAATTCTTATGAGGCAAATGGTTGTCTTTTAAAAAGTCAGTTTCTGTAAATTTTTAAATCTAAATGACAAGATACCCTACGAGCTTGGAGTCGCACCCCTTATAAACGCACCTGGGCAGTTTGGACGGTCACATGTCCTAGATTCCGTAGCAGTGCAGGCGTAGCCACAAGACCTGGTCCTTTTCTGGTTGCCGTTCCCACAGGTAACACTGCAGACAGACCAGATACTCCAGTCTCCCTCGCCATCTGTGGAATCTGCAAGGGAGCCGGAGAGATGGTCATCATCCCAGAGTCCCCAAATCCCTTTGATCAAACAACTGACCACTTGTCCTCTTCCTGTGCTGTCACTGTTGAGGAGACTAGATGTCAATGGGGTTAGCTTCATAAAGGCAGGTTCTGACTGACTGGTGATCTGCTCATGCCCAGGACCTGACCCCTAAAGGGGTCCAGTAAGTTCTTGTTAAAAATGCATGCACTGCAGAAGATGAGATCTTCTCTCTCAGCTAGAGATGCCAGAGTTCCTTCCTTCTCTATGCAGACATTCAAAATCTGGGCAGACTTTGGCCTTAGAACATCTGGCAGCTGCCAAACTTCATCTTTGGGGAATTCAGTCTCTGATAAAGAAGCTGAGGTTAAACCTGTGAATTACGGGGAATCACACGGAAAGAGAGGCGCTACCGGAAGGCTCACCCAGACACGGATGTATGGGTAAACACTTCTTGATCTTCCTAGCCCTTCCCAGTGCACTGCAGAAGCAGCAGTTCTCACTAGAAGAATTGCCTGAACTTTTGAGCCACAAAATGAGAAATGATAACATTTCTGTTGGGGAGGGCTTGATGATAACTATCTCATAGTGGTCAAGCTAGGCGTGGTCACTCAACATCCACCCAGTGCATACTTATGGATTCCCTATGATGTGCCAGGCTAACTTTAGAAATGTGGGGCACTCGGAGCCTCCCTGGTGATTCAGGGGGTTAAGTCTCAGCACTATGAAGCCAGCCTCAGCCACTGCAGCAAGAGTTCCATCCCGAGCCAGGGAGCTGACCCACATGGTGTGGCAGACCTCTCCTGTCTCATATGCTGCTCCCCTCAGCTGTGTATTTCAGAGGATTGGACTGTTCTGTGCCCCACTCTGTCTCTGGTGAACCCTCTAACCACCCCTCCACCCTACATCTCTGGCCTGCATTCCAGCTCTTATATGTCTACAAAAAAAGAAAGAAAGAAAAAGAAATGTGGGGCACATCATTAAATAAAACTCTCAAACATCCCTGCTCTGATGCAACTAGTATTTTAGTGAGAAGAGTAGAGTCAGACAATAATCAATAAACACACAAAAAAGAGCAAATTAGGGCCTTCCCTGGCAGCGCAATGGGTTAAAGAGCAACTCTGCAAGTCTAGCCGCAGCTGCTTCAGTGCCAGTTTGATGCCTGGCTGGCCAGGGAGGTGACCCAAATGGCGCGGCAGACCTCTCCTGGCCTGCTGCTCCCCTCAGCAGTGTGCTTCGTCAGTCGGCCTGTTCTGCTCCCCACTCTGTCTCTGGTGAATTCTCTCACTGCCCCTGCACCTCTGGCCTGTACCTCAGTTCTGTAGGCATAAATAAACAAATTTTTGGGGCAAACTATACAGTATATTAGAATAATTAGTATGGAAAAGGATAAAGAAACCAGGTTGGGGAGACTGGGAGTATGAGAGCTATGATGGATATTAGTGTAGTTATTTGTATTAAATTCTTTTCTTTCTGTATTATTTTTTAAATATTTTAAAGAAGCACCACTGTTTTACATCCTCATCGATTAATTAATTATTTTTTTTGGGTCACTGTAGGATTTCTCCCTTGAGATGTGGTCACTGTAGATTTCTTATCACCAAAACACTCATAATCCTCCATGATTCACTGTGCTCCCCTCAAACACTCTTCTCACCCCTCTTCTTGCACTTCCCCTCCCCCTCTTCTTCTGGATGCCTCAGATAACTTCCTCTCTTTAGAAGTAAAGAAAGGAAGTCCTGAGTGGTCAAGTAACCTATTCTAGGTAATAAGGGTAACAGCAAGGAAAGTCTGGGCTCCAGCTAAGCCTTGGATCTCTGGCGCACAATTCTTTCTGCAGCATCTAAATTCTGTAATACTTTCTCCAGGCTTGTTCAAATCTTCCTGCAGCCTTGGGGCCTCTACTGGTGCCAAGCGCAGAGCTAAAGGCATGTGCCTTGCAGGGAAGGGGTCCTCTCCTTTCATAACAGGTTGTGGTGGTGATTGTTATTACGTAGGCCCGGCAAGAATGTCGTCCACACATGTTTCTACCTGAGCTGTGGGCCCTGTGCCAGCCTCCAGGCTGTGTTTACATGGCACACACTCTAAATATTCCGCAGGCCAATATAGGGTGCTGGATCTCCTCAGTCCGTTAAGCAGTCTGGGAAGATTTCATGCTCGTGTCCTCTTTCCTAACCCAGAGCAGAGAATTTGCTCACACCTCGGCTGCCCCCTCAAGCCCCATCCATTTCTTCCCTTTCCAAAACAAGAATTTTTCCGAACTTTGATTTTCTTTTTTTCTAAGGACTGGTTTTCCAATCACACAGCCAAGCAGATGTTTGAAAATCCTGCTTGTGTGAGGGAGCTGGGCCTGCTTCCCCAGTATTAGCTTTCTTCCTCTCTTCCATCTGTTACCGGGCATCAACACATAAAACTGGCTTTCAGAGTGAAAAACTGCTGAGGTAGGAGCCCTTGCTCTCTTCAGAGACCTTTGCTGTTAGTATCTCTTGGTAATCTACTGAGAGCACGAGAGATGTTCCAGAATAACCACACCATCCACTCTTGTCAGTGGGCTCACCCAGGTGCAGTGGGATGTGCACACAAGTGAACACAATCACATTCCACAGGCACCACTGAGGCAGACTTTGCTAAAGGGCACCACACAACAGAAAGTCACAAGTAAAAATTATAGTATCTTTCAATTCATAAAAAGGGGGCAGTTGGTCATTTACCAACTTCTTAAGTCACCCAGGTAGGGATCATGTCACCTGTGTGGTACAGAATCAGTGACACCCAGCAGGGTTCAGCTCAAGCAGTGGGGTCTCGACCGCATCTAAATAGCTCTTCAATCTTTTCTTTCTGATGTAGTAATATTTGGGGAAACATCTTCCTTGAACTTGGACATTTTATAGTTCAATGCATCACAAGACAAATATTGGAATCTCTACATTGATGTACTTTTTTGGATCTGAATTACTAAATATTAATTCTGTGTCAGATTATGTGAAAAGTAACTTCCATGCTTCCTCTTCCTATAGCCGCCCTTTTAGTTACTCCTCTCACACCAACCCCAGCAAGGTCATATGACATGCTTTGAACATTGGGAAAATAACAAAAAACAGGTAAACAAAGATGACACAGGGCTGGCCCATTTGTGCTGCAGGGGACTCCTTCTACCACAATGTGAAAAAGGCAGGGCTCACCTCCTTCAGGGCTAAGGCGAGGTGGAGAGAGACCCCAACCTCCTCAGCATGTACAACTGTCTGGCTGGGACCCCATTATTATAAGCAAAACTGTCCTAGACCATGTAGCTTTAGTTAAATTAGCCCAGACAACCTGCAGACTCTTGAGAGAGAACACATTTGTTCTTTTAAGCCACAACATTTTGAAGGAGGTTTCTTAAGCAGCAAAAGCTAACTAATAAATGTATTGTAAAATTCTCCCTAAAATATGCTTTCTAGATGACCCGCCAACTCTGAGACTATGAAAGATTTATTATCGCAGGAAGTGGCTTTTTCCATGTCTTTCTTTTAAATATTCACAAAACCATGTATTTTCCAAACATATTTTTTAATATAGTCCCCCGAAGTTAGGCACAGAACAGTTACATAGCCACATGGTGAATCATTTCTATTGGGCTTGGAATGAAATGAAACAACCTGCTAGAGAAAGTATAAATGACAGCTCATCACCCTGAAGCTCCTGCTGCACGTGGTTCAGACAAATCGCTCAGCAAGACCTTCCTCTCCATGGATTTCTATTTGTTTAACGTGTTCAAAGCACAGGAGAGGAATTTCTGACTGTGAGACAAAGCCGTGAGGGGAGTGTTCATTTCCACTATAAGAAGAAAAGCCTGTTTTTCGTTGCTTCTAACCAAGGACTATTGCTCAGCGCAGAAAGTAAATGTGGGTGGAGGTCATTGCAATGATGATGACAAAGACAGTGACACAGTCCCTGTGGCCATTTATATGGGCTTTGATAGCCCCTATCTGTGACATCAAAGAACTCGGTGAGGGGAGAAAACAATTTAGAGCAGTGGGCTGAGAGCTAGACTTTAAGGATGTCATTTGAAAATTTATAGTAGTCGTCACACAGTTTCAGGGTACTGGGGTTCTGTGAGCCAGTTATAAGGTTTGTGCAGCTGAAATGATCTGAGCCTTGCCCTGGCCACTGCCAAGCCTCCACCACTAATCCTGGGTGATAATGGCACCCAGTTACTGAGGGCTCAGTTTAGCTAGTTGCTCTGTCTCAGCACATACTAACTTCTATTCTGCAAGATAGCTAAAAATATCCTCCTTTTAGCATAAAGGACCGGGGGAAAATGATAATAATAATGAACAACTATATGCCAGAGACATTTTACGGAGGTGGGATCAAAAATCAGGGTCGGGGGAGAGTGCACTGGACTATGGTGATGGCACACGGGTGATTTGGTGATGGGAAGCCCACGGGGATTACAACTGAGATGGAAAAAGGCACAAAATGATGTGAAAATAAAGTATTACCCCAAAAAAGTTTTTAAAATCCTCCTTTTATGGATTGGGAAGCTGAGACTGAGAGGTTCCCGATCCATAAAATGTCACACAGCTCAAACTTAGCAGACCTGGGATTAGATCTGAAGCTTTGCTACTACTTTTGTATCCTGGTCTGTATTCTTGTGTTCCAGCGACTTGGATTCTTATTCATGTAGGCCACTCTTTATTAATATAAGCACTTAAGTGCCCCAAATCCAATATTAAAAAGACATACCCTTGAAAAACATCACTGTGGAATATTCTATTAACACAGAGCCATGACTGAGGACATAGGAAGTTGCAGATAACTGAGTCCCAACCCAAGTTACAATAAGCAGTGTCCATCTGTCTCATTAGGTGGGTTATTAAGAATTTTGGGAATGATGTGCTACTATTTAACAGAAAAAGATTTGCCTTGACTCTTTCTTTGGGCTGGATGATGTCTTAAGAATTTAGACAGGGCCTCCCTGGTGGTGTAGGGGTTGAGTCTCAGCATTACCACCCCTACAGTCTGAGTTCAATCCCTAGCCAGGAACCTAGCCCACACATGGCACAGCATTCAACATGAGGATAAACACTTAGAAATTACTGAATAGTTATTTGATTGAAAAAAAAAAAAAAGACTGATACTATATGCATTTCTGATACTATATGCATTTCTGGAAATCACATGCTCTGTGTGGACCAACCTGTGAAGCAGTGCTTATTCATTCATTTTGCAAGTGCTGCCCAATCTCTACAACATGCTTAGGTGCAGCTACTTAAAGGGTGGACTGCTGGCTTCACTGTCAGCTCTGCTGCTTTTCTACACCTGCTGCATCAGAAGGTACAGTTTTATAAGACCCCCACATTATTTGTGCGCATATTAAAGTCTAAGAAGCACTGCTTTTGAGGCAATATAAGGGACAATATTTTCTTTATAAAGGCAGCTCTGATATCTGATCTAATGATGGGGAAGTTCCTAAGACAGTCTCCAAAATCTTGAAAGAAGGGAGTTTCTCTATGACCCAGGGATGCTGTAAAATCCAGATGCAGGGATTGCCCAGGTATTCTGGTCTAGAAGCAGGTGTGTGTGTGTGTGTG